AACAGTCCTAATTCAGATCTATGACAGTGATAAAGCATATCTCATTTGTTTCTTATCTCCTATGGATCACTGCTCTCGTTGTTTTATACCCTTTGTATTAAAAAGCATGGCTGCATGTATTTTGTACATTTTTTATTTGTTTCATTTGAGAGAATAAATCTGGTCCCTATTGCTCTGTCTCAGCCAGAAACAGAAGTTCCTTCCTATCATCTTAAAATATAAATATGTCAAGGCTGAAATTATGGTATATGTATCATTTGAAAGTCAAATAAACATTATCCCAGATATTTGCCATATTTCTAAATAATATGATTTCTGTTTTAATAGCTGAAAAATAATTACATAGTATGCCACAAATATATTAGAGAGCAGATTATACATTAAAGGATGGATGGTTTGTTATGACCTACGTTTTTCCAAAAAGAATATTGTATGGCTTCCTGACACCAAGACCCACTAAATAAGAGTAATTCCATGTGGATTAAAAGGAAAACTAGGGAAGTAATAATGCCAACTATGGTAATTATTTGCTGTCATTAGAAGTAAAATTGGGCTTTGGGCATTCTGGCTGTTCATTGTGCCAAGGCTGATCAGCTTCTCTATTTTGATTATCAGAATGAAAAGGCTATTGAATGCCTACCATGTGTATCTTAAAGAAAAATATAGTATGTGTTTACAAGATGGTTTGGTGCTTACCTTGTAAGCCTGGAGGACCTGAGTTCAAATCCTGAACCCATATAAAGGAGAAAGGAGGAAACTGACTCTACAAAGTTGTCCTCTGGCCTCCACATGCACCCCGTGGCACACACCATTACAAACACACACACACACACACACACACAAACACACACACACACACACACGTAAAAATAAAAAGACAATAAACATTGTGTCTTATCTTACCTTTGTGGCACTTGCTCTGGCTCACAGGCAGCCGACAGCACAGGGTTTCTGATTTCTAAGAATAAAATAATACTCAGAGGGGCTCAGAGGCCAAAGCATCTTTATGTGAGCTACCTTTGGAGAACAGATATTTTTCCCTGTAATAAGTTTTCAAGAACGAATCTCTCACATGGGACAATTAACATAGGCAACAACGAATCCTGTGACCATTGTCCAAGTAACAGCCTCATGCTATAAACAGAGGATGTTTTTAAGGGTTACTTCCTTTATATTGTTTTTTATATTTCTTTATTTGTGTGTATAGGGAGTGCACATGGCACAATGCACATGTGGAAGTCAGAGGAAAACCTGCAGTTGGTTCTCTCTTTCCACCATTTAGGTTCCAGGTGTGGAACTCAGGTTGTCAGGCTTGGCATCAAGTGCCCCTACCTGCTACTTCTGTAATGGTTTTGATGGATGCGACATTGACCTATCCTTTATTTGTGGGGCTGTTAACTAATTGTGTGTGTGTGTGTGTGTGTGTGTGTGTGTGTGTGTGTGTGTGTGCGTGTGTGCGTGTGTGGAGATTAGAGTACAACTTTTGGGAGTCAGTTCTGCCCTCCACCTTGTGAAGGCATGGGCCTCTCTTTTTTCTGCTGTTATTTCAGACTAATTGGCCCTCGAACTTTGGGGGTAAATCTCCTGCCTCTACCTCCCATTTATAGGAGTGCAGGGATTACAGATACCACACCTGACTTTTTATGTGGATTCTGGGTGTCTCAGATTGTTATACCTGTGTGACTAGTGCTTTTATCTGTTGAGTCATTTCCCTAGCCCTATGACTTTTTCAGACATGTAGCTTATGTGCATTGGTTATATTCAATCCCCTTTTACCCCTACTGTCCCCCTTCCTATGGGCTTCTTTCTCTTCCCAAATAGCCATTCTTCTATCTTCACGTCTTAAAAATAATTCAGATTCTGCTTATGAGAAAAACCATATTTGCCTTTCTGAGTGTGGCTTATTTCGCTTAACATAATGATCCTACAAATGACAAGATATCTTTTTTCCTTATGGCTAAAACATCCTCTGTTGTGTGTGGTATACCACAGGCTTTTATCCACTGATCTGTGGACCACTGCTGTTTGGATAAAGGTCTATTTAGTATAAGTTAATTCTTTGTTCCCACAGCTGCTCCACAGTTCCTTAGGTTTCTGTGTCCATGCCTCACTTGAATTTGAGACTCCTAAGCTCAAATTGCTTTTCTTCACCCACTCACTCCCATGTTCTACCCTTACCTAGAGTGCAGTTGTTACTTCAACTCCTTTGTACTTAATATTTGACATCGCCATTGTTTCTCAGTTAATAACATTGACCATCTATTGCTGTTCATGCTTGATGTTTAGTGTTGCAAAAGTAAATGAAGACAAAAGATGCCTAGTTCTAGCATGAGATTGTTCCTCTCTAGTTAGCTGCTAATCAGGAGTGAATATGCTAAGATATGTACATGTATAAAATTGTCAAAAATTAAACTTAAAAAAAGAATTAGTAACTTAAAACATGTACTATGGCCCAAATAGAAAAGTCAAAAATTACCCTATTCCTATGTATATAACTTTTGACATTGAAAGCTGTGTCAACACACACTTTCAGCAGATTTGGTTTACTTGCATCTCAGACTTACTTGGCCCCTTGTGCTCCGTGGGATCCAGCCACGTGTTAACCTGGGGACTTAGCTGTCATTGTCATTTCAATTCCTATTAGAGTCTCAGCCCCCATCCAGGGTGCAGCCAGGCTTTGGGACATGTTCTATCACATATATTCAGGGAAATCTCTGCTCTCTAATTTCTAGTCTTACCTGTCTGACTCATAAAGCCTATACCATCCCCCTCCACTCTGGAGTAAATCCAATGTGTTTGCGGCTACCTGGAGGAGTGACAGCCCAGAAGTGCAGGGAGATAGTAATGCACAGGGCTGAGCTGACCAACAAGAGTAACTGAATGGGCAGCTCTAATCCCTTCCTTCCTCTTCTTGATGCCATGTCCCAGGCATACAGCTTCTATAACTGGAAGCCCCTCCCTGTGACCAAGCTCAGGGTACTCTGGCTAGCTCACTGGGCACCAACTTGTATCACTTTCATTCCACACCAGGCTCACCCTCTCCACTCCTTTACCCTTGCAGTCATGAGATTGTACCTTCTAATAAGATCCTTGCACTAGAGATTTGTATACCTTCATTCATTGAGGGTATCTGGACTAAAATCCAAGCAGACTTGGGGTGAGGGGTCTCAGGCAAAAGGAAACCACGAGCAGAGGCAGGCATGCGGAGGGGCACATCCATGATGGAGACTCATTCTCTCAGGCTACCGCGCCAATCTTCAGGAGTCCTGGGTTTCCCCCTACCCGAAGCCACTTCTGCCTGTCTCTGTAGAATGACCTGTCCCTCTGTCCATGTGCATCACTTACAGCCACTTCAATACCACCATTTTCAGTCATGTTTCTGACATTTTACAAATATGTAGTCTACTAAGAACCAAGTAGAACAGAAATCTTCAAACGATGCCTTGTTATTATTCCTCGAGTTGTAGAAACTAGCCAAAAGCAAACATTTTGGTCTCTATGCTGTCCCTAAGTATAGTATGCCGGTCCCACTTGATAGTATTTGCCACATCTTATGTCATAAGTAATTCTTGTACGCATCTCACCCCATCTAAGATTAGGCATGGCACAAGTGTCTGTTGAACACATTGAGGGATCTACAGGTAGGCAGGGTTAGAGACCTCAAGTCAGCACTGTTTCTTAAGTCATTACTTCTTGAAGTACCCTACTAACCAAGCTGAAACTCACCAGCATGTCTAGAATGTTCTTTCTCACAGCTCTATGCATGGACACACCCATGTGCCTTCGCTTTGAATCTTCAGGTCCTTGGTGTCAAGAAGTGATTCTATCAGGGACTCTCAAGGTCGCTGACATTAGAATCTAATCACACAACACAGAATAAAGGATCAAGGTCACTAGACTATCATGGAAGAAATGAAAAGTGGATCTTTTCATTCATTCAATGAACTTTTTTCGTAGTCACTCTGTGCCAAATTCTTTGATGATCAAATAAATACCTTTAAAAATATGTGTTGCAGGGCTGTGGAGGTGGCTCAGTTGTTAAAGTGCCTGCTTTGCAAGCATGAGGACCTGAGATCAAGCCCCAGATCCCACATATGCTGGGCATGGTGGCACATACTTATAATCCTGGTACTGGGGAGGTGGAGCTGGCCAGTCCTGGGGAGTCACTAGCTAGCCTATTTGGAGAGTTCTAGACCATTGAGAGACCCTGTCTCACAAAACAAGGCAAAACCCCAAACCCCAAACCAAAACCACTATGTGTCCTATGGCACAGAGTGGCAAGCACCCATTCACACATAGGCACGCAGGCATGCACACATATACACGCACACAAACACATACACAACTATAAAATGTGTAGGGACAACAGCTACACTTCTTCATAGGAACGTGTAAAAACTATTCATTCTTCCCCCTGGTTTCTCCTACATAATGCCATTCCCTTGTCTCTTAATTTCACATCATCCAGTTCATTTCAAGGCATTTTGGGGATCATTACAAGTAAGTGAATGACAGAAAAAAATCAGAAACACACATGAAAAACTTGCTAGAAGTATCAGCAATTGCCACTTTTAGTTGACTGTGTGGGCTCCATAAAAGGATATACATTTTACAATGCTCAAATAAAGATGTCTTGATTTCTTAAATTTGGGGGACAACTTTAGAGCCACCCAACATATGGTATATATGATATATAACCAAACTGGCAGTATTTCTCCTTCTGTTTTTTTTTTTTTTTCTATTGACATCTTCCAGGGAAAGTGCCGCATGATATGATTTTCAAGGCTAATTTGCCTTTTTGTCTTCAGCAGTGTGTGGTGTCCCTTACTTTTAAATTAGCCTTCTATACCCTCATTCTTCTGTGCCAAGGGAGGATTCTTCAAAATTCCTAGTAGGCAGCCCTGTGGAGAGATGGGAGGGAAAAGAAGGGAGGGAGGGAGGGAGAGAGAAAGGGAGGGAGGAAATGAGGAAGGGAGAGAGAGGTAGAGGGTGTCTAGCTGCCTACATCTGCTACAGGCAGGGAGATCAGAACACTAAGAGAACAGGCAGCATAATTCCATGTTCCTCCCAAGTAGCAGCCCTGTGGGGAGCTGAGCTTGTTGTCTACTTGCAGAGTTAAAGTAGATTTGGGGAAGGTGGAAGGGATCAGTTTCTAAGTGACTTGTCTCTCTCTCACGATGAGGACATCTGCTCTCTACTGACTGCCCAGTGCCTCCTGGTCAGACTCGGTTCTGTCTCTCCCAGATACTTGGTTTGCCAGAAGAGACACACCTATCTGCAGCAAGGAACGCAACTGACCAGATTGCAAAGCCGGTAAGTTGTGACATTCAGCATGTTTATGCAGCAGAATTGCTGAGATGCTGGGGGGCGGGGTGTTGGTCGGGCTGGCTGATTTATCTGCAATAGGGAATGTTTTATTTTAATTGTCAGTTCAAAGCTGAATTATTGCTCAGGCTAAGGTAGCAGTTAGAATTACTGTGTTCTAAGCTTGTGTATTTGTATGTGCTGCGGTTTCTGTGTGCAGTTTAGGGAAGCCAGGGAGAGCTCACCTTTAACTAACCCGCAGCTTGCTATGTCCCTTCTCTATACGTATTTTTTGCTCTTCCTAAGCACAGTTCCCACCCCATTTTCCCAACATGCCCCTGCCCTGCTCCCCACCCTGTGGGAAGTGTGGCCTAGCTTCACCTTGAGTCCTTCGCTCCCTAAGTGGATTTTTCGGGCTGCTTTGCCCTAGGTCCTGGTGGATGCTCTGTAGCTGCCCTGGGCCCTGGCGGACTGATTCAGCAGGAGCATCTGTGCATGGGAATCACGATCATCGGGGACCATGGCTGTGCAGCTGGTGCCGGACTCTGCTCTTAGCCTGCTAATGGTGAGTGCGGCACTGGGAGGAGGTGGGGCCCAGCAGTGCCCACTCCCGTGTCTTCCCTTGCCCCTGGGGCTGTTGTTAACTGCTGCTTCTGCAGCAATGGCTGCAGACATGTTAAACACAGCTCTGCTTCATCCTGCAGGCTCCTGTGAAAGGATTTCTTGGGTCAGAGGATTAGCATGACTAAGCACTCATAGGAAAGAAAAAGCAGATTTGCCATTTTAGAAACTTGTTGCTGAATGCTGTTTTAAGAGCTGTGCTTGTGAACAGGTGCTAAGTGTGCCTACAGAGAGATCTCTAGGATGGCTCTTCCTGCTCAGGTGTCCTTTGCTCTTGGTCTTTTTAAGTTTAAATTCAGAGAATCATACTTGTTTTTTTTATTTCTTTCCATAGCAGCTGTGGGATTTTTTTTCCTACAGACCAGATTGAATAGGATCTCTTCCCAGGTTTCCCTAGAGAACTGAGGGGTTCATGGTGGCCTTAGTGACACCTGTGCTTCTGAGTTAGAGGACATTCCTTTCCATTTACAGTTAACAGACATTGAGGGGCCTGGTCCAGGCATTTGTATGTGTGTGAACTGCTGACCTACCTTAGACCCCTGTGCTTTTTATGATGTTAAGAAACTGTTGCTCTTAGTGCTTTGAAGCAGACACTAAGGGTAGCAGCAGCACCTTTGGCCTGATTGGCTTTGGCTTGACCCTAGGTTCCTCTTACCTTTGTTGTCCTGCGCTCCTTGCTCTTTCTCTGCTGCCCAGCAGTTCACAGGCCTGGCAATGCTGCCTCTAGAAGTAGCCTGCGTTAGCTGGCATGGGAACGTGCCTAACATGTACACAGCAGAGTTCATGAGCGGAGCCTAAGTGCTTCTGCTCTGTGTATCGATCTGTGTTCTCTGACTGAGATGGTAAAGTGCAGCTTGGTGAGGGCTGCTGAGTTTATTAAGGTGACTTGGAGGAGTGGCCAGTGGGCGCTTACCTCCTGGGTCGAGAGAGAGTCACATCAAATTAAGAGGGACAAGTATACTTGTGATTTGTTAACCAAAAAGTGCTATTTGGTCCACAGAGTCACTTGAATTACCTGAAATTGTATGGGTGTCTGTGCCTTCTGGTTCCATTAGGGAAAGGGGACTAGAAAGAGTGAACGTCATTTCTATAGCAGTCGCCCTTTACCTGACTTCCACCCTCACTGACTGACAGCATTGTGTGATGGTACTTAATGTTTCATAGTCTACCTTTGGTATAATCAGTGCGTGTTCAAGGTTTGGATGATGGCTAGCACTGACATACAGTATCTGTGAAGAGTAGGAAGCTCCCAAGAACCCCAGGGTCTCAGAATGTGCACAAAAATAGAAGCATTATGGGCATGCATGCACATGCATTTGGTATAATATCACTTAGTAGATATAAATCCTCCAGTGTGTTAATAGAGGGAAGAAAAGTTCGCTTGAGAAACAACTTTACAGGAAGCGTTACTCCTATCTCTCTCTGCTGCTGCACTGAATGATCCTTGATGCTTAGATATGTGTCTGTTTTTACTACGAGACCCTGAGGATAAGCCCTTGGTACCTGAGCAAAATGAAGCCTCAACATCCCACCCCTGCCATGAGTAAGCACTCAGGCTCCTGATATGATTGTGGTGGTTGTCCCGGCTCTCCCTTCAGCTCAGAGTTTATCCTCTATTTGTCAGCGCCTTTTGCCTAAGATCTTTTCCCCAGCACTCACCTCCTGCCTGGATTAAAGGATTGTGATCTCCTCTCTCTGGGAAGCCAGGAAAATAGCTCTTGACACCATGATGGACCATTAGATTAGAGCTCCCTGGAGCACCATGTGTAATTGGAGTCACTGCACATTTTCTGGTTCATGTTTGGTTCAGGGAAATTTTTCCCTATGGACTTCTGTGTTTTTTGCTTTTTATAAAGGGTAAGTCCCAACGTAATTGCTTCCTTGATGTGTTTCATGGAAGAGTCTCAAAATTTATAAGTGAGAAAGAAAAGAGAAGAAGAGACCATTTAGTGGAGCCACATTGGCTATGAGTTCAGGAAGAAGGCTGTAACCATTATTATGTATTAGCTTGTTAATCAATCCATCAGCTCTCAGTATTTATCAAGCATTTGCTCACTGGGGAGAGCACATGTTGACTGAGTGTAGCTTTGACTTTGTGCTATGCAGTCCTTGGGCTGCAGGGTGACTGGGGAGATCATTTGGCAATACCACTTACATTTGGCTGAGGAGACAGCCTCAGTCATATTCAGTGTAAATGTTAATGGTGCTGGGTAGACATATTTATTTGACTCTGGAAGCAGCCGAGTCTGGAGAGTTAGAGCCCTGCGTTCTGTCTCTGGCCTTGCCACTTATTAGTGATGTTGAGTATGTCATTTCTTCTCTTGTGTCCTGGTTATGTCATTTGCTCACTGATAGGGTCTCATCTCTTGGATCTCTTTCAGCTTTGTTGGACACAATTTAAGGTCTTTAGAGATATTGTCTAGGACAGAGCTCCTGGATGGCCAACTTGAATGCTTTACTCAGTGTTACGACCTTATTTCCAAGCAAATACATGGCCAGTGTTGCCTTTTCAAAAGGTGGGGTTATGGTTTTTTAGCCAGAGAAAGCATGTTTCATATCATTAGCAGTTTATTTATACTTGCTGTTGAAAGCCCAGCCCTACAGAAGCCTAACTTACTATGTTAGATGAGACTCACTGACCTTAGGACAATGCCTGAGGTACATTTTCAGGCTGGGTATGGGGCATTTAGAAGGGGTCCCAGTTGTATGTTTGCCTTTTGTAAGGACTTCAGTGATTCTTTCAACAAAGAGTTAGTGGTGGGGAGTGATCAGTGTTTATGAAAGATGGAACAACTCAAATGTTGGAGGAAGAATGATTTTGGAGAGGAGACAAGCCCTCCCATGCATAACAAGCTCAACTGCCTATCACTTTAGGAATCTCAGGGAGCAAACGAAGGCACTGCTCTGTTTTCCACACTGCTGTATAGAGCAGGTTGTGTGTCATTTGTTGAGGTCACATGAGTTCAAAAAGTTGCAAAGGTTGGAACATGCTACAGTCAGGAATTTATTATTTATTTATATTTATATTTGTATTTTTTGAGATAGGGTCTTTCTGTGAAACCCAGCTAGCCTGGAATTCATATTCTCCTACCTCTACCTCCTGAGTGGTACACCAGATCTGCCTTGGCGATCAATAATTTTGTCCATCTAGAACAGACATATATGACTAAAGGGCTACCGAAGTAGTAGGATGCCACTTTGGTCCTTAAGTTCTGAAAACTCAGACCTTTGGGATAGATGGATTAAAATAATTTTACATTTCCTGTACCAGTGTCTGTGTGCATGTTACGGCATGTGGAGATCGGGGACAACTTGCAGGAGTCAGTTCTCTCTTTCTGGTATGTAAGTCCCAGGGAAAGGATGAATTTAGGACATCAGGTTTGGCAGCAAGCTCCTTTACCCTCGGAATCATCTTGCTGATCCTAAAATAGTTCTTAGGCTATTAGCTAGCTAGGTAATAAGAAATGAAAACTATGCTTTTCTATAAACAAAATGTCATTACATATTATCACATTTATTCTCTTCTAATCTGAGACTATTTTTGAGGCAAAAAATATCTGGTGTTTAGAAATTGAGAACCTGTCAATGTTTCTACAACTGATATTGATGGCTCCAAATCTTAAAATCAAGGTTCTCAGAGTGATAAGCTAGTGTTTTCTCTGCTGCGGCACGTAGGCTTAAGAATTTGAGTCCCAGGACCCTCCAGCACTTTAGGTGAGCCTTACTGAGGGGCGCAGACTCAACCATTCTGTACTTCCCATGTTTCTAATTGGACACTCACCCTATTTAGTACCTATTATTGTATATGTTAAACCATGAAATAGAAAAGACACTACAAATCTCGTTCAAGATGTCTGGTTCAACACTAGCAAGAAGAAAAATGTTTCTATCTGTAGGAGACTCATCATGTTTTCAGGGTTCCTTTCTCCTGGCCTGTATTTTTAGGAACTTGCCAATAGCCATTTTTAACAATACAAAAATTTAATATGTAAAAAGCTCCAATTCATAAGCCAGAGAAACTAGCAGGTGACTATTTGTAATGAGTGAAGGATGTGAATTAGATGATCTAAAGGTTCTCTCCATTCTGAAAATTTAATTTCAGATGTCTGCATTTCTTCTGAATACACTTGCTTCCTGGTCTGTTACAAAAAGACTTCCATCGCTGGCCTGCTGTTCTGATACCTCATCTCCCTCACTTCATTTCATTATGAATTTTTTCCTCAATGATTTTCCTCATTTAGACTTCTTCCTTTTTTAGCTAACCAGCAAATATTTTCTGAATATATATTCCATATCAGAAATACGAATTGGCTCTAGAAAACTTACAGTCAGATTGAACAGACAGGTTAGAGTTACCTGAGAACTAGAATGCAGCTTCTCTAAATGAGAAATATACAAGACAGCTTTAGAGACTCACATGACAAGTGATGGTGCTTCGCAGAACTCTTCACTATGAGCCCAAGATGGGGGGCCCTGGGTTCCAAGGCCATAAGGTATATTCAGAGTACAGAAACTGGTTCCTGAATCTTTGAAAGAATGGAAGAGCTAGGAGAGGGGATTTGAGGTGAAGGAAGTGATTGAATGTTAGTGGAATCTGGCTTATGTTTGGCTCATGAAGAATTGACTTCTTTGAATGGATTTCTTAAGGGGACAAAGGGTTACATGGTCAAGAAGGCAGGTGGGGGTGTTCTTGGAAGAATCAAGGTCTTAGTTCTATTATTATATAACTTTTTTTTCCTTTCCCCTTGAACCCCGGCAAGTTTCTATTCGGGGTTTATAATGAACTTTCCCCATTTCCTAAATGGCAAAAAATAGAATAAAATTGAGTTCTGACTTGAGAAATCTTGCTTCAGAGTTAGTATTGCCAATCTTTATGTTTTTCAAAGCACTTTTGTATCTATGGTTTTACTCAACGTTCTCCTCAATCAAGAAGGTCAGTAACTG